TGCTGGTGTTTGCCCAACATCTATTTGTAGACAGCAATCATATCTCTCAACCTTTGTGCTAGATGAAAGAAGCCTTCTCTCCTGTCCTTTTCTATAGCTGCTCTACCTGAAATTAATTTTTTTTCAAAGTGGCCAGCTCCATAGGTGTGGTAATTCCAGTGAATGCTCACTTGTACATCAGACAGCAACATCAATGCCTTCTTGTTTTGGTTACATGTAGCTCAGCTGAGGCTCACTTGTTTGCCTTTTTCTCAGCAATGCATCATTTTGCTGGCTCGTTATCCTCTTGTGATGCACTAACATGCCCAGATCTCTCTCCTCTACCATCAGTACCTCTTGGAAAGCTTCCAGTTTCCACTAATTTCTTCAGTAGTACTTGTGGACCAGACTAAGCTGGAGGTACAAGTGTCTTCCGTGCTGCTTTTTATAGTAATTAACTGGGTTTCCCTCTAATGGAATAAATCTTGTTCTGTAGAAAACTCCCTAAAGGCAGTACATGTACTTGTACCATCTTAAAGCTACCCCTGTTGATCCTAAAAATGATTTCCCTAATACAGCTCCATGTTATGTTTATGCTTTGGCTGATGATGGATTTAATGCTTATGTCCTATCTTATGACTTTTCTCAGACTAGCTATTTCACATTTTATTTAGTTTCAAGTGCATTTGATGCACATACCGTTAGTGCAAAGAAATCCTCCAGGACCTGATGGTATTATTCTCCATTACTGTACACTCTTTTCAGAGTGGGTGAACCTTCTCATCATGAAGGCTTCCCCTTGCAAGGTGTGCTGTGCATTTCAGGAAAATGTGCTTTTTCCTCAGCCTTTCTAAAATAAAAATCTTACCATCTACAGACACTTTTTGTTTCTTACTTCTGAGCTTATTTTCTCTTCCCTGCTGACTGTTTCTGGCCAAAGATCTGTTGTGTCGTGTTGCTGTGTTGTGTTGCTACCACACAGCCACTGAGCTATACAAAGTCACCTTTGGTTTGGTAAGGGGTAGCGTGAATTCTCATTATCCTTTATCTGCTTCACTGGGTAAGAGTTAAAAGATTCATTACAAATGATAATAAGCTAAATGTGAAAGCACAGTAGTTCAACTGATTTCAGTTATAAGGACATTGCTGTAACTACGAACAGAATAGAGATTTTGTTTTCCTTTTTGGGTTCTTTAATCTTATATTTTCCCTTTATTTGTTTCTCTAGTTCCCCGTATTTCAACCCTTCCTAATTTCTGCAGAATTATTCATGTCCTCTGTTGATCTTTTATCCTGCTGTGTATCTGCCTGCTGAGCATATCAATGTCTGTTGTTTTTTCAGCTTACTCATTACCAAGTTGATATTTTAATATAACTCTAATTTAAAAATCATCTACTCTTTTCCATGGAGGGTTCCCCAGACACTAATAAATTCTCTTTTGCTTCTTCTTTTGCCTCACCCTCTACTCCTACCACATCTCCACATCTGTTTTTATGAGACTGAACTGTTATGGTACCACCAATCCTTCATACACACATCAGACATTTTTTAGCACAAAGACACTGCAAATGATTGTTAGGGTGGAACAAAACATTCAGTGTGTGCTTTTGTAGGAGAGTTTATGACAAAAGGAAAGACATACACAGTTACAGATCTGGAACCATGTAATCAGTAGAAAATAATATTAGCATTTCAATCTTGCTTATGTTATTTAAACTTGAGCTTTTTTGTCAATACCCACTGGGAGGGAGGAGGGAAGGGAACAGAAGGGATACAACAGGCTTAAAGAGTTTTCAGAAATAACAGATATCAAGAACAGAAATTAAAGTGATTGATCATTTGATTGCTATCAATCAGATTGATAATAATCTTCCATATGGAAAAACAATAACAAGATGATGATACAAACATTAGAAAGAAGAAAGGCAAGAGGAACTGTGACTGTGTAAAATGATCATTTAAGGTAATGAGTTTTCCATGGATTTGTAATACAACAAAGAGTGACTCAAAACGGGAAATCCTACTTTGTGCAACATTTAGTCTTCGGAATGTCTGACTGCATGATGTTATTGAATCTTCATTGGGAAACAGTTGAGATTTAATCAGACAGGTAACACCAGCTGTTCACAAATAATTATCTGTTTATGTATAGGCTAAAATAGCAGGACTGTCAATTCTCATGTACTTCATAGAGCATGCTGATAATCAGCTGGGGGGTGAAAGAATTTTCCTCCGCATTGCGTTACTAGAAAATTAGGTGCATTGCTGAAGTTTAGAGTTTCCTCTGACACACCTGTGTTGCAAGAAACACAAAGGAGACAGGAAGCAGGAGGTGGACTGCCCATTAACCTTGTCTGTTATAGCAATTCCAGCATTTCTACATAACTACAGTGCAAACCGTTTCTACATAACTTGTTATACCTGATTCATTTCCACTCATTGGGCCCAAATAAGTTTTTTATCTGCTTAGCTCTTCTTCAGCCAGAATGGTATAGGGAAACAATTTAATTCAACATCCAAGGGTAAGCATTTTTCCTTCGTGCTACTCCTATGACTTTTCTAGTCTAGAGGTTGAAATTGCCTGAAACGACAGCACTGGAATCCCCAGAGACACCCAACTGTATCCACTCAAGTGTTTCCTGATACCTCCAGGATATTCATGTCTGTATCTTCTTTCATATTTTCTACAGTTTCATCCATGTTCCTGTTCTATTCTTCCCCATCCTGTCCAAATAGATTTTGCTCTAAGAACCAAAGCACTAGTAACAATTTCTGTTCTGCTAAGACAAAGCTTTCCTGGCTTAGAACTTCTCTTTCTCCCCAAGAGTCCTTTCTTTGACAGCAACTAGCTTACTAATTGACCCTTCTCATTTATCTAATCTGTCTTTCCATGCACGCACAACATGTTCTTCACCATGCTAACAAACACTCTGTTATTTGACCTTACCTCTGCGAGGCAGGCTCAGTCTCAGTGACACCTCCCTCTGACACCACATGTCCCAGTGCTGTGCAGTGGCTCTGATATCATGGAATGGAGGCAAACTGCACATCCACAACTAAAGGGTCCCAGCTCTAACAAACCAATACAGCTCTAACAAACACAACACCGCCCTCTTTCTCTGTGTGATACCATATGGCCACAGTCTCTGGTCAGGATTCCTTAGTGCTGGGACCATTCCCATCTTTGGCTCCCAGAAGATCCAGACGCTGCTAATGATGTTAGAGATTTGGTGGATGCTTTGCAGTCAACATTTTGGCCCAGGCTACATCCTACAGGTGTCAATAGCAGAATCCTAACTGCAGAAGAATGAGGAGTTGATCTTTCAACTCAGCCAAAACTGGAGATTCAAACTTCTGCTCTCTGCCTGGTAACAGAGGAGTCAGGCTACTCCCTGAATTCTGGGGGTTTATTCTCTTCTAAGCATTCTACAATCAGATAGGACCTTACTAGGTTCCCAGTAAGCATCCATAAAGCCTTTCTTTGGAGACTGACTAAACAGTGTTGTCTCTACAACAGCGAGTGTTTATGGTCACTGGGATGCCAGTAAATTCAGGTTAATAATAGCCCCAAACAATAATCATAAAAGCAGTCCTACATGAAGAATGATTTATGCTCAAATGGATTTATATCAACTATATTTTCATTTTTTTTTCCTCAGATTGAAAATACATTTATATATTTGCATTGTTAGACTTAAGGTACAAGACCAAGTTTGGGATGAAAGCTAGTTTTAGTTAATATCTTTCTGGAAGTGCCACTAATCCTGGAGCAATATTCCAGGCGCCTTAAGGTGCAACTTGGTCTGGGCACTGGGTAGTTCTTGCTCCTGTTCTTCCCCAAGTAATCTTTACAAGATACTCAGTACCTCCTTCCTCTTCCAATTCCAGTTTCTTGACCATTGAAGGAAAACAATGAGTCAGAACAATTCTGCAAAATTTATGTGGCCAATGAAAAGCCCATTTTGCTAATAACCACCGATTCCAGATACCTGTTTCGAGGGTATTCCTTCTCTTCAGCACCTGAAGCTTTCTGAATATGTTGGTTTTCCTACAGATAATCTTTATTTATGGAAGAAATGCCTACTTCAGGGCCAAGCTGCGGGGATTCAAACAGTTTGTTACAGATGAACACTCCTTGACCTGGGGGCACAGAATACTTCGTTTTAAAATTCTCTGTCAGACCCACAATCTACTTAAGGAAACAGAAAGGGTTGGGCAAAGCATTTTTTCATGCCTGCTGCTGGGTGCCTTCCAGCAAGATATCCCAAGATATCATTGTGTCAAAGCTAATGCAGCTGTTAGGAGCTTAATAAACACAGGACTTTTTTTTTTTTCCCCTTAATTTTTAACCTACTCAGTCATCTTTATGTAAAGAAAACAAGGACAGCTGTTAATCAAAATTAGTGCAACACAAAGTTCGTATTTGTTCCTTTTTTATTATTTCAACTCTTCCAAACAACCGTTTTCCTTCTGTCCTTGAATGTGAACCCATACTTGCTGCTTAGAGCATCAAAAATACTTCAGACTGTATTGAGAAAGCTCCGGCAATGTAAGAGCCCCTAAGAAAAGCACAGGTATTTTGAAAGCTGGAAAATAATGAAGTGTTAGAGACAGTGTCATTGAAATACAGCTTCTGTTGCTTTCACTTCAGTTGGTTTTGACTTCGTTGGATGCCTTACCCAAACACCGAAGCCTCTGAATGTGAACGCGAGCCCTTTCCCTGGGCTGTCGCTGCTGTTCTATCTCTGCAGACAACTGGGGGCATTGCACAGGTTGTGTGCAAACTGTGTGCGCTATCCGACCTGCCCTGAGAAAGCAGGCAGATCTGCCCCTGACGCTTCTCTATTTCTGCCTCGGTAGCACCGTTTCAGGACCCGCATCCCACCCCACTCCCTGCCTGCCCACTGCCCCGTTTTCCCTTTCAGAGCTCTGGCACAGCAAGGAGCTCCCGCGGTCCTTGCTGGCAGCGAGCTGCCCGGCTCGGCACAGCCTGCCCGCAGCTCGCACCCTGCGGTCCTACCTTGGACACCTGGAGGGGCTTTTTCTGCTCAGAGCCCCCTTGCAGGCGGAAGCCCCAGGGGGCGCCTCCAGACAGCGTGATCACCATTTCTTCCTCGGCTCCCATGGCTCCTGCGCTGCGGGTCCTTTATCTCCCCAACGCCGGCAGAGCGCGGCTCTCAGCAGGCAGCATCGCCCCGGCCCTGCCTCCCCCCGCTGCCCCCGAGCCCCTCTCCTCGCTGCCTCCCCCAGCTCCGCGCACCCCGGACCCGCCCCGCCCCGCCGGGACACCCGATGCTGCCGCTGGGCCGCGGCCAGCGCCGTCCCGCACACGTGTGCCGTCAATCTCAGCCCGTGCCCGCGGCCCCAGCGCGGCAGCGGGGCTCAAAATAGCTCGGCCCTGACCTGCGGGGCGGGACGGGGCCGCTCGGCGGCCGCTTCACGTCCCCGGCCCCCGGGCACAGCCCCGCGGCAGGGGCAGGGCGGCACCTCGGGGACACCTTTGCGCGGCTCCAGGCGCCAGCACCCGCCCCGTGGCCGAACGGGGGCAGGCGGCCGGCGCCTCGCCGCCCGCTGGGGGCCCCTCCGCGGCCCCGCGGCCCGGGGAGCGGCTCCGGGCCCGGCTCCAGCCCCCCCCCCTGCTGCCCCCCGCCCGCCGCCATCGCGGGGCGCTCCCCGGGCCCCGGCGGCCGCCGTGACGTCAGCGCCGTGCCCGCGGGCGGGGCGCGCGCCTGCGCGCCGCCGGCTCCGGCGCGCGTGCGCGGCATCCGGGCCCTGGCGGGCGGGGCGCGGCGGCGGCCGGGGGTTGGCGGGGAGTGCGGACGTGGCAGGCGGCGGGCGGCGGGGCCGGCGGCCGGAAGCGGGCCCGGCAGCGGCAGCGGCCCCGGTACCGGCAGCGGCGGTGAGCGGGGGGCTGGCGGGCGGGGGGGGGCCGCGGGGGCGCCCTGAGGCGCGGCCACAGCTCCCCGCTGCGGGGCCGGGGCCTGCGGGGCGCTGCGTGGGGCCCGCTCCGTCCCCGCGCTGCCTCCGCGCACGGCCCCGCCCGGCCCCGCCGCGCTCCCGCGGGGGCCCCGCGCTCCCTCACGGCGCCGGGCAGCGCTGAGGGGCCCCTGCGGCGCGGGGACGGAGCTCGGCGGCCTGCGGGAGGCGAGGGGAAGGGAAGGGAAGGGAGGCGGCCCGGCGGGGCCTCGGGCCGAGGCGGGCTGCTGCGGGCCGCCGCCGGGCGGCTGCGGGTTGCCCCGGGCCGGGGGTGCGGGGGGGGGCTCGGCTGCCCCGGTCCTGGGCCGCAGCTCCGCATCCGCCGCCTGTGCGTGTGGCGGGCCCGCACCCGCGGGGTTCCGCTGGCAGCTTCACGCCGTGCCCTGAGCCCTGCCTGAGCTGCCCCGCGCTGCGGCAGGAGCACGGGTGGGCTGCTTGCACCCACATCACGAGCACCTGCCAGGGTTGTTACCGTTTTTTACAATAACACGAAAAACAGATCTTCAGTTTGATGCACAGCATTAATTTTCAGCTGTTAACGTGGTAGCTTCATAGCAAACAGCTCTAGTTTCTTTCTGTCACAGGGTTCCTTAGTAAACTGCACTAAAAGTTTAGGGGAAACGTTAGAGGGGAGAAGCAGCCATCTGACATACAACGCACAAGGCCAGGCTTCGTTTACGTGCTGTGTCAAGTCCCATCCCTAGAGCGAGGTGGCTGGTTGCAGGTGCTGTCTTAGGCCTTAGCCTTCAGTAATGTGGAGTTGTTCAGAATAGATCTGCAGATCTTTGGCGTTGATGTATTTTGTTTTTTTCTTTTCCCTTGTCATAGAATAGGTATTCTGGCTGTGGGATTGTTAGAAATACATTTGGCCTAAAACTCCCCCTTAGAGGAGGCTTGCTGTACGCTGTCAGCAGAAGTACGAGCATCTCTCTCCATTTTTGTGTGGGAGAGGTTCCCACTCCTGGAACTGCCCCTTTCTGCTTAAAGCTGCACCACTCAGAATAATCCTTTCTTGCTATAGACAGTGGGAAGTGGAAGGTGATGAAGGCAATACTGCTTTTTAATTTGCTGGGACAGTCACTACAGGTTCTAATGTCGTGGCTAAAAGCTGAATACTTACAGAGAGCAGATGTCTAGAGGATTATTTCTTTAATGAGTTGTTCAATGCTTGTACCTTTTTGAGTGTTTACTTCTGCTACTTACTGTAGAACTAAATTTTCTTCCTGTAACATTTATTATCAGAAGGGTCAAAAATCCAAGAAAGAATTGATAGTTGGCTGAGGAAGGGCAAAGTACAAAGAACGACTGAAAATAATCACCAACAAAGTCTCACAGAACAGACAAGGTGGATGTTTCTTGTTATTTAGGTTTCATCAGCAATGAGTTATGAAGAGAAAGCTTGTTTTTATGTGTTCAGTGAGGTTCATTGTTAGCACAGAAATCATTAAACTATGAGCCGGGCAGTCATGCACCGGGAAAAGCTAATTGTGAGACTTTCTGGTTTCCTGCGAGTGATGGGAATTGCGTAATGCATGTTTGCATAGAGGAAGTCAGAGTATAGATGCTTTAGGTGAAAAATAGGCAGTGTTACAATGTATGTGCAGAAAGGTTGTGCACCATTATAATAAGCCTTTGGCCTTACTAGTTATTTACCTGTTTGTTTGTTCTTCCTTCTGGCCTCTTCTATAAACTTTAAATAACTTTCAACTTTTCCTAATCGATTATACTTGTGCAGAGTTCACCGAAGTGAGTCAGATGACTTCACACATCATAACGTGTACATGGAGTTAAAGCTAAGGAAGGAGATAAATCTTTCACCGTCTTTTTTTTGAGGTGTAATTTCCAATGACTTTTGCCCCTACAGGACTGCTTTTCAGGAGTAATGCCAGTGACTGAGTGTTGGTGATTTTTTTTTTTTTAGGGCTTTATTCCAGAGGTAGAGGTGAGGTGTAAATCAGTCCTACCATTCAACTTCAATCAGTTTTATCTATCTTTTTTTTTTTTGACTTAAAATTCTAGTGATGATGATAGGGATTGGAAATAGTGGTAGGCTTAAAGTCTGGTAAAGACTAAGACTTTTAAATTCCGTATTTAGCCACTTCTGCGCTCTTGTAACTTAAATGTTGTCTTGGACCTTGCCCAAGATGATGAAACAATCTAACAAAATAGGGTTTAAGGTGGCTCTTACTTAGAAGAACATGGAATGATCATACCTCAGAAGTGAATGATAGTTTGAAAGACCTTTTCAAAACAGTCCACGAAGGACTGGCCTCCAAAATTCTGCACCAGAACCTGTTGTGTCAGTGAGGTTCTAGCAGCTACTCTCTTTAGTTTTCCTGAAAGTCTTTGATGAGAATACTGAGGCTTCTGGACTTTCACTGGTGACATTAAATTGTAAAGTCTTATTTTTAAAACTAGATGTCTTACACCTCTTGTGAGCTGTCAAAACACATGTTGTTGGCTCAGAGAGTCAATTCCAGTAGTGTCACTTGGGTTGTTTTGGACAAATGTATGGAGTGCATGCTGCTGTAACGGCCTGAGTACTTCCAGATCAATTGCCAGTCTTTGGTTTCCAGGATATGAACTTTTTTTTCCATGTTTTTCTGTAGAAAAACAAGACAGGAGCTTCTTGGAGTTGAGGAGAAGTCAAGTGTTCTGTGAATGCTTGTAGAGGACATCATAAAATCGTATCTGATGAAAAAAATGAAGGATGTCTCTCTTTCAGGAGAGTGATCTGAGAATGGTGCAACTTTGCTTTGTCTCCAAAAAAGTTACAGCCTAGATGCTTTAGAAGCCCTGTAGGTAATACTCTGAATTGATCTGTGGAGATGCCAACTGTGCCTTTCTGTCCCATCTTCTGGAATGGGTTTTAGTATCTGTGGTCAGAAATCAAGTTGGCATATTTCCTTCAGGTCCAGCAAAACATAGCAGGCCGTGCTATCCTCTTCTTTTATATTTTTTTTTTAAACAAAGATCAAGTCAGTCCAGAAGTTGAAACTAACAAGGCTTTTATTTCTCTGGGACCAGTGAAAAAGGGACTAACATCTTTCTGGAGAAAAAGAATTTCACTGTACGCACTTGGTTTAGAAAGCAGTCAAGAACTGATGAGATCAAGCATCTCAGTTTCAAAAGGGAATTAAGTGAATGCAAACAAAAAAAAAAAAAAGATGAGCTTGCAGTTTGCAAAGACTGGGGAGACTTGCTGATTGAAATGCTCATGTGAATCACTAGTTGTTTTTTTTTTTTTTTTAAATAGGCCATAAAAACTGAACTGTAGTCTTTGTTTGGAAACTAAGGAATACAGAAACCATTACAGAAGTGTAAGATCTATTCCCAGTATTACTGTGTATTTTTCTCCCATCAGTTTGCTGCTTACCAGCTTTGGTTGTCAATCTTATTTAACGGTATCCCAGTATAAAGTTTGACTGTGTGCACTGACACTATTTTGACCAAAATGTGCATGGTCAACTGCCTTTGTACAGAGGAATAAAAGAAAATGGCAGAGTGACGGCTGTATATTCTGCAAGAGAATTATTTGACTTATTTGTAGTAACATCCACTTGTTGTCATAGTATTTACCACTCGTATCAGTCCTGGTTATTGGAGCTTTGTGTATGGTACCTTGTGAGCAGTAATAGGATGTTCGATAGCATCTTAAAATATTACGTTTGGCTTAGCTCTGGTAATGTGTTACCATGTACAAATGAACGTCCTCAGTACTTCTGTCAAGTGGGAGAGCTTTCTCCATTTCTCACTGTATGGTGTATGTATTTCATTCTTTCTGTCACCTTTCTTCATGTCATAAGAAATAGAGCATAAAATCCTCCATTTTCCCACTTCTCCTTGAGTGACCAGCTTCTAATTTATGTACACAGTTTTGGATGCAGGCAAAATGAAAGCTGTTTGATAAAAATGACTGGTGCTGGGGAAGAGGGAAAATGGATTAATTCAGTGACAATTCTTTTCTGCCTTCTCAGAGGTGGATACTCCTGGCCCTGCCCTTCATGATACTCCACATCGGTTATGAGCAAGCGTGCCACAAGCCTTACATTTAGAGCAGGTTGAGCAGCCAAGATAAATGAAGCAGCCTTGTCCGCAGTTTCAACACCAAGCTAATTCTCGAGTCTTCCTCTTCTGTTCAGCTCCCTCTTTGACCCTCTGCTGCTACAGAGCAAGCGTCAGCTTGTGTTGTGGTGGAGGTCGGCCTGTGCTGGCTGTCACGTGGCCAGCTAAAGGTTTGAGGTGTATCTTGCCTTCCTCTCATTTGGGGCACTTTGTAACCCAACAAAGGAGATAATTGCCTAGTACTAATTTACATAGAGTCTATCTCAAAACGTTTTTCTCTGGAAGGTTTGTATTAAATGAGCGTGCCTCTTGGTTTCAGTATTACTGAGGAGAGAGCAAGAAGCAGACAATACAATAAAAAAGTCAGAAGTTGTTTGCTAGAATAGAAATAGAATGAAATATTGAGCTGTTCTAGCCCTGTTGCAATTGCTTGGGCAACCCTGAGATATGTTCAGGAATATCCACGCTGAGTCCTGCAGAGTCCTGTAAGTGTGATGTGTAGAGTGTCTTAATGATTGTAGCTCAGGAGGTGTCCTGCAGGATGCTGCTGCTTAGACTG